ATATGGCGTTGAGGAGGACTTAAATCATATCTTCTTCTATTGTGTCTCCGTGCAATTTTTGTGGGGTTGCCTTAGGGAAGTTTGGGGGCAATGGGTGGTGCCCTAACAACTTTCCAGAATTTTATCATCTTATTGTTGCTTGCTCTAGCGAGATCCGATGAATGACAAGGGTGAATTTTGGGAACTTGGTGTGGTCTCTGTCATGTATTAGAAATAAGCTTATTATCGAGTATGCATACCGTGTCAGGGACACTGTGGAAACCTCTTTGCAAGCGGCGGGATAGGAAGCCGGTCAACAAGTTGACCAGGAAGTACAAGGAGTTGACGACGCTCCTGATTATTACTCCCTCCGTTCCTAAATATAAAGCGTTGGGGGAGTTCAATTTACACTCGCCCAACGTCTTATATTTAGGAATGGAGGGAGTATTACTTATCCTCATCGTCTTGAGACTATTTGTTTTTTGTGGGCTTGTTGTGTTGGTGCCCCAGGTAGAACGCTCTTTTTTTCATCTACCAAACTTTGTGACATGTTTGTTGGCACAGATTCTCCCCGGATTCTAGGGGGCATTAATTTTTTGGTCATTGTGAACCTCCGTTTCTTAGTTGTAATTTTAACGTGGTTATGGCTTTATCTATAAAGCGGAGCATGAAGCCTTTTTCGGCAAAGGAGGGGACAACGCGAGTGTGTTATTCAGGGTTTAACCAGCGAAGATTAGATATACGTCTTTCATCCTGAACATGAAGCAACGTTCTAGTCGACATGTTAGATGATGGATCTTTTAAGACTTGCACCGCCCATTGCTCGAGCTAAATCCATCACGGAATCCTATATAGAAAGTTGCCCATGGTAAGCAAGCATCAGAACTCCTCTCTAGAAATTGCATCATCCCAACCACGATCAAATTCACATCAAACCAAATCAATGGTCTTCCACCTCAAACCATAAGCTTCCACTCTTCACAAAAACAGGGGAGCAATAACCACGAAGCACTATGGGGTTCCACTGATCTAACTTAACTTATGCATGTGGATGAGATGGCGGGCCATGCCAATACATCATGTTGGGTAAATTAGCAATTTCTAATTAATTTAATCCTTAAATACAATAGCAATAGTACTAATAATATCACACTGATGTGTAAACATGTGTAGTGCGTTTTTCTCAAGTCTCCTCCAAATCCAAAGTGGTACTAAGCCTTCCAACATCGACGGGGGTCATTCAAGGGGAAGTGAACAAGTATGTCGCCTACTATGCACAAGTGATTGGCCGCCCACAAAGTGAAATGAGAGTGTCAACTCATGTAAGTTCAATTGCTTCATTATGTCATCATTTTAATTGCTTGTTTTTTGTTGCATTCAAATTGTTATACTTATTGTTTGCTAGAAGCTGGTGGGCCCACTATGTACCAACAGGCGGAGAAGAAGCCATCTGGTTTTGGCCATTGTTTGGTGCTATTGGGTGGCAAACCAAAGTGGACACAACATGTGGATGATCTTTAGGCCGGTAAGAGTAAGAATGATGGCTCAAGCTCTCACCAATCAATTGGGTTGGATGAAGAAGAGGGAGAAGTTGTAGGGGGGATGGAAAAGCTACTATGCCAATGAATAACCGGCAAGTGATGGAACAAAAGTGGTAGAAGGGGAGGGCCGCTCGTGACACTGCGGCGACAAAAATGTCAACCACATGGATGGGCCTTTTTTCTGTAAGGGATAACAAGAAAGTGGAAAGGTACAAGCTCATGTTAGATACGCAAAAAGAAATGGTGGATTGAGACCAAGAATGGTGAATAACAAGTTGGTAAATGAGAGAAACAAGTTAGCAATTGAGAAGGAGAAGATAGAGATGGAGAAGAAAGGGGCGTGTCTCAAATGGCAGATCAAGAAGGCCCAGACTTTTGGACCAATAAAGATTGAGAATGAGAGGTTGCAACTTGCTCAAGACATGGATGATTCAAGGATAATGTTGGCCGATGCAAGCCTATTGGATGAGCAAGCAAAGATATAACTCATCAGGAAGAAGGAAATCAAGAAACATAGGGAGTACGAGGTGGCGAGAGCGGCAATGGCAATAGTATAACAGACGAATAGATGGAGGTAGAGCAGACAACGGGGATGGACGCGGCAAAGCAGGTGACACGACCGGTGTCCGGCGAGTGATCTGTCACGCTCGGACTTGAATTTCATTTTGCCTTGTCTGGATTGTTGAACCATGATTTATTTTGCTTTGTTGCATTTGTCGAACTGTTGAATTGTGATAATTTTTGCTACATGATCCACATGCATGGATTTGAGGGTTTGAATTTGAGGTGTGTGGCTGCCCGGCAGCCCATGTGGGGTCGTCCGGTGCTGTCCGCGGGTGCGTCTGGGCGCATCCGTGGACGTTTAGGTTGGCGGATTTGGCAAGTCCGGTTGTACATGCTCTTACATCCACTGGTTTACAACCATAGAGATGACCTGTTATCTCCTATGTTTTCTTTGGCCATGATGGAATTCATCTCACTACGGACCTTTTCCTTCCAGTAGTCAACATCTAGAGATTCATAAGCTTCTCAAATGGAAATGTGAGTATCATCCATGAAGTACATAATGAAATCGTCACTAACAGGAGCTTCAATATCTTCCTTGATAGGATTTTTTCATATGTTCCCTCTATTTCTTATATTCACCAGTTTGCCACTCCCTAATCTGGGTCCCCAGGCCTCCTCCTTGTTGTCGGTGTCCCTCCTTATATCACGCGAGGACGATGGGATAGAGGTTGCCGGAATCAGCAAGTTGGGGAGGTGGTGCTAGTGGATGGAGTGGAGTTGTGAAAGACAGTTCGGTGAGGTTGACGAGAGGGAGGAACGTCCATGAGCAAGCTGACGAGAAGGGGATTGGGTGGACAAGAGCGCGGGCGATGGGAGGTGGCGCTCACAAAGAGACGGGGATTGAAAAGAGGAGGATATGTATCACGGAGGAATGTGGGGGATGAGGATTGGAGAACGTCGGACAGAGCGTGCGCACTGCAGTGATGAAGTTTAGGATGACAGATCGTCCGTGCTCTCCAGGGTGTCCTCGAAGGGGAACGGGTACCTCTACGATGACCACAATAATGTCGGCGCCAACACCGAGGCCGCGGATGAAGGGCGTGTTGCATGGGGTGGTGATGAAGGTGTCGGCGGACAACAACCATCAGCTGAGGAGGAGGCACGCAGGACATCGGGGACGAGGAGTAGAAAGGGGCACCTATCATTTGCTTTCCTAACCGTCTAAGATACGATGGCGAGTCATGCGCTTTCGAGTTTTGCGCGATTGCCACCGTGCGCACAAGAGAGATGGGATCTTAGTAAGGAGAAGAGTGTTGAACCATCACGATGACCACAAACTCTCCGTTAGTAGTAGAAATGCAATTTTGTTTCGGTGTCACCAAAATTTTGGCCCCGTGGGAAGAACCCAAAAAATAATAGAAATAACTAGGGTAAAAATCAGAAAGATTCATGGAGACTCCATATCCTCCTTCAGTCTCTTGCCACAGCACAGCCTATTCAGCTGAGGCACTTGTCAAACGAAAACATCTTATCTCTTGATCCAAAAAGAAACGAAAACAAGCCAGCTAGTAGTTGTGGGCGCTGGAGGTGGGCTTTTGGTTGGAGAGACAGAGGCAGCAGAGCAGAGAGCAGCGCCAACCCAACGACCAAAGGCATTGAAGCCTCCAAGCAACGCCTAGACCGCAAGGAAGAAACGAAAAGCTTCTCATGAAACCGTACCAGCACGGCATATTTTTCCCCGACGCCCATCCGCCGCAACAGGATAAGATCACATCGCACATGCCCAGTCATCATATCATATCCTATCCCCTTCTCCCACCCCCGCACCTAACTTATCCATTATCTAATCTAATCACGCCTGAGACCATCAGCATTAACGCATCGATTACTACAACTGCGGCCTCCACATCACACACAGTGACACAAACAATGCGAGACTTGTCGCCGGGAGAGATCAAAATCCCAGGCGAGCCATCACAAGACAAGCCCAGCTCGTGCGACGCACCGACGCTGCTGTATGAAAACAATGCGAGAGCAAGGTTAAAAACTTCGGATGCCAAACGGGACATTGTCGCCGTGATTGCGATCCATGATTTACTCGATTTATTACTACTACTGCTACTACGTTTCACCCACTTCTCCCAGGCCAAGAGAGAAGAGACAAGCGGAGCAAGCCCCAGATTAATCAATGGATCCACGTCGTGTTGGGGGTAAAGCAAGCGGTTTGTTTTGTTTATGTACGTGGTAACCCGTTCCTGTTCTTGCCGCCCGTTCGGCGCGAACATGGGGCGTAACTTTCCTTAGAAAAAACGGAAGAGAAACTGTCGCCGTGGTGACAGATCTACGCACCGCGCAGATTGCCGGGGAAAGAAGCGTGCAAATGGATGCCCGGATCTGCCTTTCCAGGCACAAAGTTACCAGTACTACCACCTGCAAAAGCGCCATCTTTCTTTCTCTCTTCTTGGGATTGATTAGGGGTCTGATTCTTCCTCGTTGGTGCCCATTTCAAGCCATTTCATACTCCCACAAGGCGAGGCATAGCTCAACCACCGGTCATGGGCGACCTACCGACCTGCCTGGTGGTAGCGCAATCATGGCGGAGAGCGATCCCCTATCCAGCAAATCAAATTGGATCAACAAATTGTATATATGTTTGTACACAAAGGGATCGGGAGCAATGCCATTAAACTAACTAATCTTATCTTGAGGACGGTTCATCATTAGTTAATGATGGCCGGGGTGTTGGATCAGTTCGGTGAACTCAGTTCGCCGGAGCAGTTCATACATGTCTGCGTACATCGGGTCGGGTGAGCGAGGTCAACGGGATCCAACTGACGGATACAAGAACACGACGAATTTAGCTTAGACACTTACACATGCTCTTGCGATTACTTGCTTATATATAATTAAGGAGTAAGTAGTAGTAACAGATCTACGGGACACAAGACAGATCCATGGCTGCGAATTCGCAGCTTACTGGTTATATCTCGCATCGCCGCCATTTCGAAGATCTGAGAGCGAGTAGGACCTCGGCGATCTGAAGCTGCCGCCCTTCCTCGCCGCCGCCGCGCCCATCTGGGTGTTCACGCTCAGCCTCGGGGGCGGCAATGCCGGTGCCTCCCACCCGTTCTTGCCGCGGTGCTGCTCGTCGGAGCCGGAGTCGGAGTCGTCGTCCTCCTCGCCTTCCTCCCCCTCGGGGAGGGCGTGGTCGGGGGCGAGGAGCGGGGGCAGGTAGGTGGCGGTGGCCAGCGAGCTGCAGGAGGCGCGGCGGGACCAGGTGGCCAGGATGCGGCGGCGCTTGTTGAAGGGGTTCTCCGGCTTGGCGAGCTCCTTCACGGCGTCCCGCGCCGCCGCCTCCGCGAGGCTGGTGAATGACTTCGACTTTCCGGCGTAGAAGCTCGACAGCCCGTTCCTGCAAAATCACACGAAAACGAAGGATCAATTTCCATGCTCCTCTTCCTCTCTAGATCAAAATCAATTGCAACTGAGGAACCGATGACAACTCGTGATCTCTAAAAAACCTCATACGAATTTCCTACTACTCGCGCTTTTGCAAATGGATCGAAGAATCCCCAAAAAAGATCTTCTTTTTTTCCTCATTTTGGGCAAGCAAAAGGAAGCATATTCAGAGAAGCGTCTGACTCACTTGATGGGCAAGGAGTCCTCCAGGGCGTCCAGGCACCCGAGCCCGGGCTCCTCCTTGAGCTTGCTCTCCACCTCCTCGTCCTCCCCGTCGCCGCCAACCTCCGACGAGGAGTCCTCGCCGATGGAGGAGCTCGACGGCGACGGCGCGCCGATGGAGGAGCTCTCCGTGAGCACCTCCTCCGCCTCCTCCTCCTCCTCCTCCTCCTCCTCCTCGATGAAGAACCCGTCGCTCATCTTCTTGCCGAGCAGCTCGTCCCCCTTGGCCCTCCCCGATCCGGGGAAGCCGCCGCCGTAGGGCCGCGCCACCGCCGTCGACATGTCGGATGTGTCCGTCCAGGAACAAGGACAGCACCAACTCAGCAGCAACTTGTGTAAGAGAGAGAGAGGGAGAGGAAAGAGGAAGAAATGGGATAAGATAAGAGCAACGACAGGAGAGGAGTTGGGTAGGCGGGGTCTTTGTAGGCTCACGGCATGGGCGCCCACCACCGCCAGGATCCTCTGCGGCCTAGCACAACCCAATGCACCACTCTACTGCCGGAAGTGTGTTGTACACAAGCCCCTTCTAGATGCCTCTAGAACTATTCGGACTTTTGTGTCGAACAAACATCCGCTCGAGTGTAAGAACCGGTCGATAACCTAGAATCAGGGATGGTTCTGTGGGTTAACCATGACCTTGTGCTAATTTGCCCTTGCTATATGGTGTGTCAGTGGGGTTTAGGGGTACGTGTACGTCGGGGAAACTTTGGTGTCATCAACTTTCATTTGGTAGTATCTCTCTCAAGAAACCTCTCGAACGATTCAAACTTGCACACCAACAAACAACCGTTGGAGTGTTTGAACATGTCGATAACCTAGAGCGAGGGGGTGGTTTTGGGAGTTAATCATGACTTTGTACTAATTTGTCCATGTTATATCGTTTGTCGATAGGGTTTAGGCATATGTGTACGTTGAGGAAACTTTGGCGTCATCAACTTTAATTTCGTATTATCTCTCTCAAGAAACCTCTTGAACGATTCGAATCCCCATGCCGACAAACATCCGCTAGAGTGTGAGAACATGTCTATAACCTAGAGCGAGGGATGTTCCGTTAGTTAATTAATAATGACCTTTTACTACTATGTCCATGTTATATCGCATGTCGGTAGGGTTTAGGGTTACTTGCACATCCGAAAACCTATGGTATCGTCAACTTTAATTTGGTATTATCTCTCAAGAAACTCTCGAATGATTCAAACTTTCGTGCCAACAAACATTCGCTGGAGTGTGAGAACATGTCAGTAACCTAGATCAACGGATGGTTCCGTGAGTTAATAATGACTTCTACTAATCTGCCCATGCTATATTGTGCGTCGATAGAGTTTAGGGTTACGTGTACATCTAGAAAACTATGACATCGTGAACTTTTATATGGCTTCATGCATGCCATAGTGCCAGCGTTGGGTATAGACAAATAACGTTTGATAGTACTTATATGTTCATTTCAAACTTACTGGTTTGTCCATAGTATATCCAATGCACTACATTGTTGCATGAAGTGTGTGCTATACAAATCCGACTTGCTTGAATAATGGATGTTGGCACATGTGGTGTCTCAACCGTCCATTTTATAATTACTATTTTGTCGATCTATATCGCAACATTGTAGGATTTAGGGTTACTTATACATCCACAAACTATGATGCCGCCAACTTTAGTTAGGTTTTAGTGCATGGAGCACTCTAGCCATCGGTAGGAGAGAACATAACATTTGGCATTACCTCTTTCTAGATAGCTCTTGAACTATTTAATCTTTCATGTCGAACAAATTAACATCCTCTTGAGTGTAAGAGTTGGTCGTTATCATAGAATGTAGGATGGTTCCATGAGTTAAGCCTCACTTATACTTACCCTCCATCCATATTGGAAAGAAAAGGTGTGGAATCCTTGGTGCGTAGATTAAGGAGGATCAACAGAGGATAATTTTATTTTCAGATTTACCTATATAAAGTTGCCAGCCGTTTTACTTGATTACATTTCCCATACCTTTATTATGCCAACCATCTCCTCGAACACACGTGCGCCGCTCTTCACGTGAAGCCCCGCGTCAGTTCTTATGTAGTTCATGTCGAAACATTAGGAAACACGTTAAGCAAGGGCACCCCCGATGTACAGACTTTTAATGCACTGTCCTACTTGGTGAAATTATTTAGACAATAAAACCAATGTGTGTTGTGTCTTAAGTGTTGTATATAAGTGATGGTGTACCTCATTCCACTGGTTGTAGGGATTTTGCTCACATCTCAAAATTGTGGTCTATTTGTGGAGAGAGGAGAGAAGGAGTGAAAAACAGGGTAGAGAGACCACATTGAATCAGAGAATTTGATGCCAGTGCGTAGGGAAACAAGCTAAGATTCTTATTTCCATTGAAATGCAAATCCCACTCCTCTGTATCATTTCTTTAATTATTTGTCCGCATCGGTATTTTACCTATGAGATAGTGTTAGGAGTAAGTATTTGGAGTGCCCCGAGATATTTGAGACGAAAGGAACAAATTTATAGCGGGGAAGCTTGGGCAACACACATCATTGTTTGGCTCCTAGCACCTTATTCTCATGCAAAACGGGAACAAATATGCATCCATTTCAAAACGAGAGGGGATATTTAGTTAACCTTTCAAGACGTTTTCCTTTTTACAGTGGTCAGAGCTGCCAATTGTAATTTAGTCAGACTACGATGTGGCCCTTGGTGCTCTTGCAAGATCCTCTTTTGTTTTTGATTGTTCCATGTTCACTTGGGGGTGGAGATTAAGAAACTTCTGGAAACATGTGACTTTATTCGTGTGAAGGGAGTGTTGTCGAAACAGGATTGCGCATAACATAGCTAATCACACTAGAGGAGAGAACATAATATTTGGCTTTATCTCCTTTTATATACCTCTCGAACTACTTAACCTTTCGTGCCAAACAAACATGCTAAGAATTAGTTGGTATAATAGATTGCGGGATGGTTCCACGAATTAAGTGTCACCTTATACTTATACTCCATCCATATTCGACAAAAAGGCATGAATTTGCCTCTGGCACGTAGATTAATGAGGGTTGCTTGTGGGCGTTATTTAGATTTACCTCTAAAAAGTGACTGAATGTTTTACCTGATTGCATTTGCCACACCTTAATTGTGCCAGATGTCTCCTCGAACACACATATGTCGCTCTCCTCGTGAAGCCTCATGCCGAATGATTCACACGCCCGTTTTCACACGGTTCGTGCCTAGCAAGTAGGAAACACTTTAAGGAGGGTTAGCAATGATACCACTCCCAATGCACCGACTTTTAACACGCTATCCTACTTGGTAAAAGGAATTGGAGACAACCACCCCCAGTATATCGTCTCTTAAATATTGTATATAAGTGATGTTGTACCTCATTTTGTTGGTTGTAGGGAATGTGCTGGCATCTCACAATTGTGTTCTACTCATGGACACCGAAGAGAAGGGGTGACAGACATGGAGAAAGATCACATTAAATCAGAGAACTTGATGTTACCACATAGGGAAACAAGCTAAGTTACCCCCCCCCTCTCTATCTATCTCTCATTTAAGAATCTTGCCACTTCCCTAATTTACCTATGAAATAGTGTTAAGAGTAAGTATTGAGAGTGGTCTGAGATATTTTAGATGGAAATAACATAATTATAGGAGGGGTGTTTGGCCAACCCACATCCTTTTTGGCCGCTACCACCTTATTCTCGCACAAAAGGGAAAAAAGGAAAATGCGGCCCTTTCCGAAACTGCAAGGGGTATTTAATTAAGCTTGCAAGATGTTTTCCTTTTTGCAACCGTGTAGTTGTTGTGGATTGTAATTCAGTCGGAGTGCGATATCGCTCTTGGTGCTCTTACAAGCTGCTCTCTCGATTGGTCGATTTGTAGACACCTTGTGGCAGAGATTAAGAAACTTCCAGAAACTCATAGGTTGTTCTTGTGAAGATAAAAAGGTTGTTAGAATAGGATTAACCATATTCCATCTAATAATAGCAGATATGGTGATCACCACGCAGGAATGATTTTTTGAGCTAGTTTTAGATATTGTTATTGCCATGGAATAAAACCGATGGAGAGTTTGTATCTTGCTCAAGAAGGTGAGGCGGTGACAAATCCCTGAAGATGAATATATACATAAGGTTCTCCTCACCTAGCCCCGGTCCCGGTGGTGCATCTAGCGTCGTCGGAGGGCGTGTTGAGGTGTGTCTCCGGTGGATCTCGCAAGATCTAGTCGGTGTTTGTCTTTGGTGGATGTGTTGATCGGGTCTGGGTTTGTGTGTCTACAGGTTGGATACTCCTGGGCTATGCTTCTCTTCATCGATGATGGTTGTTGTTCTGTTGAGATGGTCCTTTGGGGCCTTAACACGACGAATTCACGACTGTCTACTTCAGCAAGGTCCGGCTCCGATAAGGAAAGGGCGATGACGACGACGTGCCTTTGATTGGTTCTAGTGCTTGTAGTCATCGTTAGGTGGTCTATGAACATGGATTAATTTCTATTACTTTTGATTTGTTCCCTATGAAGATAATAGTGTTGCCAATATTCTATCTAATAAGTAGATCTAGTGATCTCACTATGCCAAAATGTTTTTCCAAGCTAGTTCTAAGTAATTTTATTGATTCACACAGCCACGGAACATTTTCCTCCATGCGACTCCCACACAGGGTTTCCCACCACCGGTACCATCACCGATTTGCCTTGTCTCTTGCAGCCTTAGGGCCATGGAGGCACGTTGGATCCCGGTCCTTGCCGGTGAGAGGGCCCTTGCTATGTTTTTAGGTGTTTCTTTTAGTTTGTTTAGGGCTTATATGTCCTGCTTAGGAAGATGAAGTGGGAGTGGATCCTGCCCTTGTCGATGGGAGGGCTCTGCTTTGTTTTTGGGTTTGTTTAGTTTGTTTAGGGTTTATGTTCCGATTAGGAAGGCGAGGCGGTGACGGGTCCCTAAAGATGGAACAAAGTTATTCCCGCCTAGCTTCCATCCCGGTGGTGCGTCTAGTGTCATTGGAGGGCATGTGGAGGTGTGTCTTCAAAGGATCTCGCGGAATTTAGTCAGTGTTTGTCTTTGGTGGATCTAGTCTTTGTTTCTGTGACTGCATGTTTCTTTGACATGTGAGGGATCTCGAAGGACCCCCGAGAGTGCATTAGATAACTCTAAAAATAATACAAGCACAACTTATACAAGGACCCTCAAAGAAAAGGAAATTACAGACGAACCCTTGCTTTTTTGCAAAGAGGACCCTAGAACAACAAGGTAAAAGGCAGTCTAGTCCTCCTAAGCGGTGCAAGCCAAAGACCAAATCCATCGACGCCAGGGATGAACCACTTGTGTTGGTGGCTTTGCTGTGGCATATCCAGCAGACCGATGGAGACAGCAGCAGACGCTAGGCTCACACTAGACTGCCCCCCTTCAGACGACGACGCGTCGGGAGGAATGAACTAAGTCGATGAGGCTCCAGCAGGTCGCCATTCGACCAGAAGAAGCAGGGAGGAGGCGGAGATCGGCAAGCGCCCAAAGTGCGCTGTAGCTCTGCCACAGCGACACGCCACGAAGCATGAGGAAGAAGACTGCAACATCGACACGCCATGAAGCAGATTGGCCTTCCTCTGCATCCCATCGTCCTCCACCACGGCGGCAAGACGGGAGTGGCGGGAAAAGGATCCCCATCTCGAGACCACGGGTACCATTGGCCTTATTTGTGGAGCGGCTAGTACATAATCCCCTTTCCCCCTTCGGCTTCGACCACTAGAGAAACATAGGGAGAAGACAAAACCACCAACAGTCGTCGGACGCGGCCCACATCCGACAAGGATCTCCAAACGCCAACATGGCAAGTCTAGAACTACCGCTGCTACTATATATAGAAGGATCTCGGGCACCTCCCCCTAGCGATCGTCGGCTGGCCATGCCGTTGAGCGAGGCATGGAATCGGGCCGGAGAGCCCTGGGCGACTCTCAAGAGGTGGAGAAAAGAGAGACGACAAAGAAGAGAGAGGTGGAGAAAAAAGGGTCATTTCATCCCGCCATTGGTGTGTCTGTTTGTTGGATCCTTTCGATCAAATCGGCGACTTGTTCTGATGTGCTTGTACTTTGGGGCCTTACACGATTACTTCTCAGTTGTCTAGTACAAAAAGGTTTGCCTGGCTTCGGTGTGAAGGGGGAGGGCAGCGGCACGTCTTTGGCTCGCTCAAGTGCTTGTGGTCGTCGCTAGGTGGTACACGTACATGCATGGATGTGATTGTAAGAGTTTATTGTGTACGCAAAAGTTCTGCCATGATGTTTATGAATAGAATGAAAGATTTAAAAAGGAAAGAAAAGCAATTCTATTGCTATGGGATGATAAAACCGAGGGGGCCATTGTTGAAAAATAAAAACTTGCAAGAAGGCAAGCTTCTAGAAACATGGCTGTCTTCTCTCTCAAAAAAAAGAAAAGAAACATGGCTGTCGCAGGAGGGAGGCCCGTAAAGTAAAACTCCATCCCATCCCATCCCATCCCATCCCATCCACAAAGGATCCTGGTCAACACGGATGAGCTGAGCGCCCCGCCCCGCCGTGTGGCGCGTGGTGCGTGGACGGGGTCCGTCGTCCGTCCGCGGTTTCGCTGCCGTTTCCGTGTGCGTGCGTCAGCCGGGGAGGAGAAAACCCGGGACGGGGCAAAGTAACGAAAAAAAACAAGGAAAAGATGGGGAGATCCAGCAGGAGCAGGAACCAGGATGGATAGATGGATAGACAGATAGAGGAGGAGGAGGCGGGCGAGTGGGGCGTCCCGATCCGTTTACAGTTAGCCGGACAGGATCAGGATCGCCGGATAGGGATGAGGCTGCGCTGAGGTGGTTTCACACGTTCCCACCCGCGTGGCCTGGACCATCCACCACACCACACCACACCAGCACGGATAGATGGAGCAAGCAAATGCGACTCGCCTAGCTGGACAGCGACCCGGACGAGGTTGCTGCTCCTGTGTTGGATCTCGCCTCGCTCGTCAATACCGCGGCCGTCTGGCGCGGTTTCGGATTTCGTTCTCGCAGCTGGGAAATGTGTTTCCTTACTTCTTTGGGGGTTCCCGGTATTGCCCCTGCATCGCTGTGTGTGTGTGGCAGCTTTGTGGGCTGGCGTGCCTCGCTGTTCAGGGCTAGCCTGGTCATCGGGTTGATTTTTCTGTGGGTGGGTGATTAGGTCGGAGGAGGGGAGGCGTTTTGAAGCTAATCAAGGACTGTGTGGCGCTTTCGAACGGGACCGTGCCGCTTTTGGGCGACTGCGGCGTCTTCTGTCCAGACCAGCTATCTATTACTCCCTCAGTTCCAAATTACTCGTCACAAAAATGTATGTATCTAAAACGCGGAACGGAGGGAGTACTACAGTACATCTCTATCAGAATATAAGATGTTTTTTATGTATATTTTGATACGGAGGGAGTATATACATGCTAGTACAATCCAACAACTAGTACTCCAATTTCAGAAAGGAAAAAAAACTCGTATACGTACGGTGCAGATACTCGGCCGTCGGACCCAAGCCCTGGATAATACCAGAACCAACTGCACTCTCACTTGTATTGTATACCCGGCTAAGAGCCAGTTCACAGAGTACGTACTTCTTTCGCACAAAACTAAACTAAACTAAACTAAAATAAAATAAAATAGAGTAGGTACTTCCTCAGATGAGATCTCACCAACGGACGACCGACCGACGGTTGGGGTGGGTTGTCGTCGTGGATAAACATGGAAATCCAGCCACGACGCTCAAATCGGTTTGTTTACCGACAGTCGGGGTTGGGAGTACGTACTACTATGCCTCGATCGAGTTTTGACTAGCTACACTACACCACTCCCATAAGCATATGCCCCTGTCTAGCCAGCGATTGGGTATATGCGTGGAAATTCGGATAATCATGTCGTGTGCGTGCCTCGACGATGTCCAGGACCAGGAGCCAGGAGGGGAGGTCGGCATGCATTTTCTGAGATAGCCTTGCGTGACCTGAGCTCCACTAAGGCTGCTTGTAATGAATAGTATCATAAGTCAGTATCATGTATATGATACTGGTGTATAATACTATCTCTTTAATGCATAGTATCATATAGTAGTATCATGATGACTTTATTTATTACCATGCATGACACATACTCCTTCCGTTCCTAAATATTTGTCTTTCTAAACATTTCAAATGACTACTACATACGGATGTATGTAGATATATTTTAAAGTGTAGATTCACTCATTTTGCTCTGTATGTAGTCACTTGTTGAAATGCCTAGAAAAACAAGTATTTAGGAACGAAGAGAGTAGTAGTGTAGCATTTATTATGATACGGTATCATAATATGATACTCAACCTTCTTTTTCTTCATTTAATTCTATGCCACATCATCTAAATTGCCTAGTTGCCATGCATAATACTAATTATGATATTTTTATTACGACCAGCCTAAACAAAAACTAGGCTGACGATGTCCCGGATCGAATTGAGATATGCCCAGGCCGTACGGCCGTACGCGATTGGCCCATGTGGTGTGAAGATCCATCTATGCAACTTGCCTTCAGCCTATGGCGCCTCCTGGATGTGCGTGCCATGATGCCTCGTATAGTACTCGTACTCCTGCCTCTCATTGCCGTTCCACGATGAAGTATAGTACGTCGACGTGGCTTGTTTTCTGGCCGGCACCGAGCTTGTTCGCTTTGGCTTTGATCTTGACCGTCCGTGCTTGGTCGAGGGAACGTGCCGTCCACGAGGCTCCCATGCAGTGAGTGCTTTTGTTGAGGAAAGGCAAGGCTAGGCAAGGCAGAATGATTCCCGTACTCAGGGGCGAAACTGGGCCTGGGGCAACTGGGGCTATAGCCCTAGGCTTGGCCCAACTCGTAAGTAAATGCCAGTAGAATTTTTTTTCATCCTCACAGTAACTTGAGTTATTTGGGTTGCATCTTCTTTGTGGGCTCTTGTCTTTTGGGATGTCTTTGATTCTATATTTTGACTTCCTCTTTTATGCTTCTTATCCTTCATACACCGGAGTTTTTGGCGTGCATGATGCAGAGAGAACACAGCCACAAGGAGCCAATTTTACTCCTCACAACTATCTTTAAGTACTAATTATTGGGATGGATATTGAACATTTCCTATCTTCTACAACTAATGCCAAGGCTAGGTAGTACACTCTTCCAGTCTTCTAAAACTAATATCAAGGATATGGGGCCAATCTTTTAAATCTTCAACAATTAATGCCACAAAAGCCTTGATACTGAACTCAAATTTATTGTCGTGACACCTCAGTTTGAAGATATAGATGAACACTCTCATAGGTGTGCACCTTCCAATATAAATATATGCCAAGATTAGTTCACACCCCATCCAAGTGTTCTCAATGGCTTGCAAGACCACCGCTGTTGTGGCATCCATGTTGATATTGATGCTCCTTGTGTCTTTCGGTAAGTAGGATAGTATATTATTTCATACATATGTAGTTTTTGGCATGCATGATGCGGAGAGAGCACCATCACAAGTAGAAAATTTTACTCCTCACAACAATCTCCAACTACTAATTATTATGGATATTGAACATTTCCTATCTTCTACAATTAACGCCAAGGCTAAGTAGTAAACTCTTCCAATCTTCTAAAACTAATGTTAAGGATAGGAACCCAATATTTTAAATATTTAACAATTAATGCCACAAAAGGCTTGATACTGAACTCAACTTTATTGTCGGGACACCTCTGTTTGAAGATATAGATGAAGACTCTCATAAGTGTGCACCTTCCAATATAAATACATGCCAAGATTAGTTCACACCTCATCCAAGTGTTCTCAATGGCTCGCAAGACCCCCATCGTTGTGGCATCCATGTTGATACTGATGCTCCTTGTTCTTTTGGTAAGTAGGAGAATATATCATTTCATACATATGTAGGGAGTTTATGTTTTTCCATCACATATTAAACCTTTATTTCTATAAGGATGTAGGGATTTTGCATTGTAACAAAATTTCTTTCATTTATGTAGACGAGGTTCAAGGGAAGTGTCGTGAGGAACGCATCATGCTCTCATGTGATAATTGGGTCAAATGTTTTGAGTGGTGTCGTCTCTTTGCTGATACGAAAGGGTACTGTGATAAAGGTGCATGTGTGTGTGTGAATTGCTTTGTGCAATCATCTCGCCACCATTCTGCAGAGGTTCCACCACCGAATTCTGCTCATCATGAGTAGTTCATTGTAATTGTCGAATTATTGGTAATTGGTTGTCCTATAAATAACTAAGTGCATATTATGATATTCTTTTTATGTATTTTTCTAATATGACATAGTAAGTTTTTCAATGGAACGGTACAATAATATGTTCTCAGGGTCATCGGAAAGTCCGGATCTATTTATGGAAACTTTTCAGGGTCATCAGAATGGGTTCCGGAGACATACGAAAAACCCAAGATTTTATTTATAGAAGAAAAGTGCGAAGGACCATCATGAGATGACGATCCCTAGTGGGCCCACGAGGGCCCACAAGGGGCGCCATCGGCTTTGGTAGGCCCCAGGCCGAATTAGAAGGGGAAGGAATCCTTCCCTCTTCCAAGGATTTCCCCTCCTTACCCTCCTCCTGCTCCTACTTATATATATGGGGAGAGGCCTCCCTCTTGAGAGAAATCAAATTAAAGGGCCTCTCTCCCGCATAGCACCATGCTCTCCCGGTCTAATTTCCTAAGCGTTTAGGCTCCTAATTAGATGAGATCTAATCTCGGAATAATAGGTCTAAGAGAATTATACTCCAAATTAGATGAGTAGCGCCGCAATTTTCGCTTAGTTTTCTTCCTAAACGTCGAACTCTGCCGGACTACTACCACGGATCGCGTGGATACCTCAGAGGGGTCGTCTACTTTGACTCTTATCTCGAAGAACAATTTTCGTGGCTGGGAGGTGTAACCTAGCTGCAGGAATTGACGGGATCGTTACGCTGCACCGACTCGTCACTGCTTCCGCTACTCTGCACCATCGGTGAGTTTGGTCCTTACCACCATCTTTAGTATTCCTGAGTGTGATCACGTAGCATAGTTTTTTAGTTTTTTTGTTGCATAGCACGTTCCCCTACAATAGTTGGGTAGCTGGCAAGTGGGGTCGGGTCGGCGCAGTCGTCTGCTATATGTGTGGATGCAAACCCGACCCAAATTTAGGATGGATTTGCGTCCACACGAACTTTAGACAGACACTGAATGAGTTTGCGTCTATGCGTTGGGCTGTCATTCCTGCCCACGTGGACACAAGCGGACAAAATAAGACAAAATGCATTCATGCATTGGAGTTGCCCTAAGGGTCTTTTGGTTTTCCATGGCCCGACGTGGTGATGACTACGATGAATAAGGTCCATTCAAATTTTCCACCAATATGGAGGATCTCATTGTTATTGATGTTGATTTTTTTCCGGAAGGGCCTAAGGGAATATATTAAGCATCACGTGTCCTTATAAACACACTCATACTGAAAGAAAAATTGCATTTAAATCCTTGGAGGTGCCAAAGTTTTTCTTCCCACATCCATTGGTTGCGCACATACTTCGATGCCATCTCCGGGCCTTCGCCTCGACGGCGCAAACTTTTTAAAACCGAGGAGCATGTAGAAGCAATGGTCGAGAAGTCGCCAATGCAGACCAAGAGACTCCGATGATACGTCTGTGACGTATCTATAATTTATGAAGTATCCATGCTATATTTACATCAATTATATATGGCGTTGGTGTACTCTTATATTATTTTTATGGCATATTAATCCAGCGCCGAGTGACAGTTTCAGTTTTTTGCATGTTTTTGTTTCACAGATAATACATATCTAGGAAGGTCCAAACATGATGAAAATTTAAGACGATTTTATATGAAATATATGTGATTTTTGGGAGGAAGAATCAACGCAAATTTGTGCTCGAGGGCCCACTGAGACAAGGGTGCGCCTACCCCGACGGCGGGCTGGGGTGGCTTGTGGGTAGCCTTAGGCCGCTTGGAGCCCTTCTTTTGTGGCAGGAAATCTTATTTCCATAGGAAATTCCCCTCAAAATTTCAGCCCAATCAGAGTTGCGGATCTCCAACTATAAAAGAAACAGTTTTCGACCAGAAAACAATAGCGAAAAACAGAAGATAGAAGAGAGATCCAATCTAGGGGAGAGCTCCCTCTCTCACTGGAGGGCTAAGGAAGAAGAAGGAGCAGGTGGGCCCTTCCCTCTTCTCGGTGGCGTTGGAGCACTGCCGGGAACATCTCCTCTATCACCATCACCACCAAGTTCTTCTTCATTCTCATGGTGATGTGTGTGAGTAGTTCACCCTCGAGGCTGAGGGTATGTACTAGTAGTTATGTGTTTGATCTCTCTTTCATGGTCTGAATGGATTCCGATCTTTATTGTATCATGACCTTTATTAATAAAGTTGGATCTTATGATATTCATCTCCCTCTATCTATTTTTGTGGTGATTTTAGCTTGCTCTTTCTAGTTTCTTTATGTTGGATTGAATATTTTAGATTTAAGATTACTTGATGTATGTTTAGTATTAACTTGCGGGTACCCATGGTGACATTGGGGGTACTCTAGGTGAAATAAACGTTGAATGATATGTATCATATGGTGTTGTCATAGTACAATCTCTAGGACTATTCGTGACACTTTATGGGTGGTTCATAAGATTGATTGGAAAGACAACTTTGAGGTGGTTTTCTACCTACGCGATTTCATCTTACTTTGTCCGTTAGAAACAAAAACATTGAAGTGATTCTTTGTTGCACTTTGAGGGATTATTGATACGTCCATTATGCATCATGCTTTTATATCGATATTTATTGCATTATGGGCTGTTATTACACATTATGTCACAATACTTATGCCTATTTTGTCTTATTTTACAAGGTTTACATAAAGAGGGAGAATGCCGGCAGCTGGGATTCTGGGCTGGAAAAGGAGCAAATATTAGAGAACTATTCTGCATAGCTCCAAAAGTCCTGAAACTTCACGGAAGTTATTTTTATAATATATAAGAAATACTGAGCGCAAGAAGTACCAGAGGGCGGCCACTCACCAGCCACGAGGGTGGGGGGCGCGCCCCCTGCCTCGTGGGCCCCCTGGTGGCCCTCCGATGCCCATCTTCTGCTATATGGAGTCTTTCGTTGAGGAAAAAAAATCATAAGCCAACTTTCGGGACGAGACTCCGCCGCCACGAGCGGAACCTTGGCAGAACCAATCTAGGGCTCTGGCGGAGCTGTTCTGCCGGGGAAATTTCCCTCCGGGAGGGGGAAATCATCACCATCGTCATCAACAACGCTCCTCTCATCGGGAGGGGCCCAATCTCCATCAACATCTTCACCAGCACCATCTCCTCTCAAACCCTAGTTCATCTCTTGTACCCAATTCTTGTCTCTAAGTCTGGGATTGGTACCTGTAGGTTGCTAATAGTGTTGATTACTCCTTGTAGTTGATGCTAGTTGGTTTATTTGGTGGAAGATCATATGTTCAGATCATATATGCACATTAATACCTGTCGGTGTCAAAACCGGCGGATCTCGGGTAGGGGGTCCCGAACTGTGCGTCTAGGCGGATGGTAACAGGAGGCAGGGGACACGATGTTTTACCCAGGTTCGGGCCCTCTTGATGGAGGTAATACCCTACGTCCTGCTTGATTGTTCTTGATAATATGAGTAGTACAAGAGTTGATCTACCACGAGATCAGAGAGGCTAAACCCTAGAAGCTAGCCTATGGTATGATTGTTGTTCTTGGTCCTACGGACTAAACCCTCCGGTTTATATAGACATCGGAGGGAGCTAGGGTTACACAGAGTCGGTTACAAGGAAGGAGATCTACATATCCGTATTGCCAAGCTTGCCTTCCACGCCAAGGAGAGTCCCATCCGGACACGGGATGAAGTCTTCAATCTTGTATGCTCATAGTCCAACAGTCCGGCCAAAGGATATAATCCGGCTGTCCGGATACCCCCTAATCCAAGACTCCCTTAGTAGCCCCTGAACCAGGCTTCAATGACGATGAGTCCGGCGCGCAGATTGTCTTCGGCATTGCAAGGCGGGTTCCTCCTCCGAATACTTCATAGAAGATTTTGAACACGAGGATCGTGTCCGGCTCTGCAAAACAAGTTCCACATACAACCATAGAGAGAATAATATTTCCACAAATCTAATCTGCCGACGCATTCCGCAGTGTGACATCACACCACAGCCAGGTCACCATTTGAATCGTTTTTCACAACCAACCTCAACGTGTTTCGCGAGGCGGTTTCCTTGGCACGTCTTGTCTAAGCAGAGATCGTGTCCCCTTATTACGGGATTCCCATCAATACGGACGTGGGTAACCCAACCGCGCCATCAATTATGGCGCTTCGGGGATAAGTGAGTTTTACCAGGCTGGTGGGGGCGCATAGTTTAGTCCGTCCTTTGGAGACATCAAAAAGATGCGCGGGGCCGGATACTTAGCCGCGGATATTGCGCATCGGCTACCAGCCGCGGGGCAGATTGTCCCTACCCCGAAACCTTACGAAAGGGTGGTTTTCCTCACCCACTTTGTCCGCGGACTGGGGTTTCCCCTCCATCCATTCGTCCGCGGCCTTATGTTCTATTATGGGCTAGACTTCCATGATCTGGCCCCGAATTTCATCCTCAACATCTCGGCGTTCATCGTCGTGTGCGAGGCTTTCCTCCGCATCTGGCCCCACTTCGGCATGTGGCTGAAGACCTTCAATGTCAAACCGAAGGTAGTAGGCGGCCAACAAGCGGAATGCGGCGGAGCCATGATGGGCAAAATGCCCAATGTTACATGTCTCGAGGGCTCCTACGTGGAGACCATAAAGGGATGGCAATCGGGGTGGTTCTACATCATCGAGCCGCGCGACACCAACTGGGTGGCGGCCCCCGAGTTTCGATCTGGAATCCCCACTCGGCTTACTTCATGGAAGGAGAAGGGCCTGTCTTGGGGCTCATCGGTGGAGCTGGACGGACTCCAGAAGTGTATCCAGAACATGATAGGCAAGAAACTCAAGCTTGTCAACATAGTCCAGGTCATGCTCTTCCGCCGGATCCTCCCGTGTCAACAACGGGCTTTCTACTTATGGGAGTTCGACCTGGCCCAGCACCAGACTCTACGCGAGTTCTTCGACACAACGCATAAGGACGTCTGGAAGGTGCTGTTCAAGGGCGCCGAGGTCCCCCCTCCCTTACCGAGGACTGCGGGCTAAGCGCGACGCGCCCTGCGAATCCAGTAAGTTCTGTACATCTCGTAGGGTATTTATTCTCCATAGTTTAACCATGTGCAGGATCTGAGCTCCCATGCCTTTGACAGGACTGGGTGGATACATCGGAGCAAATTGACTGCCTGACCCCTCTGCCTGAAGACCCTGTAGACGCTCTCCTGGCGGAGATGCAGACCCCGGCTCCTTATGAGGTGCCGGAGAAGGAGATCAAGAAGAAGGCCACGGGAACCCGAAAGAGTTCCCGGTGCCAGGTGGTATCGGACTCATCGTCCGATAACTCCGAGATGCACTCCTCCCGTGAAAACGAGGAGGAGGAAGTTGAAGATTCTTCCCCTCCGGCCGGGGAGACAAGAAAAGGAAGGACGCCCCAACCGGGGAGGCTGAAGGGTCCAAGAAGGGAAGGACTCTCCTTCCGGACTGTTCCACCACCGACGCCGACACTGAAGACGAGTGGTTACTCAGGGCCAAGCCCCTGGCAAAGTCGTAAGTATTCAGATACCAGAGTAACTCATAGCATACTTTCATGGCACTACTTTTCCTAACGCCGATATGATCATGCAATCCGCCCCGAGCCCGTATCGATGTATCCTCGTCGGACGGTTCCTTGGACTCGTCGGATATGAATAGTGAGTCACTTCCAACCGCCTCCTCTCCTCGCCCTATGGACAATGTCGAGGTATTGTCTCAAGGGGCACCAAGCTGGGGGAAGATAGTCCTGGAGGCGCCTCAAGGCGACTTTCCGGACTCCAGGCGCAAAGGGAGCAAGACTCCCAAGGGCTCCGAGTTCGGCCCTCAGCCGAACACCGCGCCGGAACCTCCAGTGGTTCCGGACTTCGGCAGGCGGCCCCCTTCCAAGAGGGGCAAGCCGCCCGTGCCGATGACCTTTGTCCATCCAGAGGCACCAGACAACTTGTTGGGAGCGCTTCGCGGCGCTTCCATCGACGAAGAGCACCACACTATTATGAGTGCGGTGATCAAGAAGGTTCAGTCCGCCAAGAGCGGACTGACTGAAGCCTGTGCCAGCCTTCTAACAGGCTTTGAGGTAAGTATTTAAAATATAGGAAAATATTACCGCATAGACAGTAGCCCCTGATGCTCTGTTTGGTGTTCACAAAGAAAAGCCGAATAGAGGATCAAATAATATCTGCAGGAGTCTAGTATAAGTATGTCTGTATGCGTATGCAGGCTTCGTTGCTGACCTCTGCCGCACTGACTGTGGAGGTCGACGCACTCAAGCAGAACCTCGAGCGGTCCGAGAAAGAGCTCAGCCTTGCCAAGAGGCAGCTCGAGGAGAACAAAGGTAAGTAATACCATGTCTATATATATATATAAAAGATGTGGTTGCAAAATGATAGGATCATCATGGATGTGCCAGGGGCCACGACCGAAGCGGTGACCCTGAAGCAAGCGCTGTCCGAGGCCGAAAACAAAGCGGCCAAGGAGCGCACCGAGCGGGAGAAACAGGAGGCATGGGTGGGCGAGGTGCAGCAAGAGCTCCAGGCTCTCGTGAAGAAGCATGAGACTTTGGAGCTTGACTCGAAGACGCGAGAGTCCGAGCTTGCCGCGGCCCTCGAGAGCACAAAGTGTGCCAACGCTGAAGCCCAAAAGGCCCTCTAGGAAATTGAGGCGATGAGGAAGATAGCGGCGGGTAAGGCATTCATTATGCAAAGCAAGCATGTGAAAGTAAATTACTTGTTACTTACCCGAGTCTGGAGCTCTCCAAGAGCATTCGCAGATTTGCCCCGCAGCGTGTCGGATGCCGCAAAGTACTACCAGGCCGAGGAGGGAAGCTCGACGGAGAAGTTGTTCTGGTCTCAGTATACTGGAACCAAACACCCGATACCTATGAGCGACCAGCTGAAGCAACTGGTCGAGCCGCACAAGGCGGTCGAATAGGCCATGAGGGGCCTTATACTCCGGATGTGGCCTGGCGACTCCCTTCCCAACAGCTACTTCGGCCTGGTGAGGCGGCTTGTGGATGCCTGCCCACGGCTGGAAGTCATAAAGCGGTCTGTCTGCATCGAAGGTGCACGCCGGGCTTTTGCCCATGTGAAGCTGCACTGGTCCAAGATGGATGCAAGCTGGTGAAGGAGGGGCCGCCCCAGGGCAAGGAGCATCGCCGTATTATGGGGTACGCTTAAGCCCCTGGCGTATTGGCCGTACCAGAGTGTACGGGTGCTGAATGTCATGAATGAACATATATATATATAAAATAATAGAGAATGCGGTAATAGTCTAGTGCTATGCATTGTTTATTCAAAAAGGTGCATCGAAGCAGAATGATACAAGTAGTGCGATAAGCAAAAAGTAGGACTATTTGACATGTCCCCTCCAAGGGCAAGCTGAGGAATGGTATTTAAAGTAGGTATTTCACTTGTTACCAGAGACCACCTGGGAATTCCATGGTGCGACGTAGCTTTCTGCTTCCTTGCTTGTTGTATCGTGTGTCCGGCAATCATACTGCCGGACGGGGTTTCCAGAGAGTAAAGTCCTAAAAGAGAGAAAAAATAATAAAGCGGGAGGCCCCTAGTGCGGTTGAGCCGCGTTTTGGGGTGTGCCGTAGTCGTGCCCCCCACCTATGCCCATGGTATTTTCAATGCGTAATTATATACGCGTGGCACGGATTTTGCCGTTTGGCTGGGACTGGGGTGGGGGCTGCATTGCTATGCGAGCTCAAAACGTGCCAGGTGGTCTTGTTGCAGATTACTCCGGGCGCGCTTGACGGTGTCCGGGTGT